TTTTATTTTTATGTACAGCTGTTTCGGAACACCAACGTGCCCTTCTTCTGGCACGACTAAAGATTAAAATACACATTGTAAAAGAAGTTATGATATAAAGAAGTTATATAAAATTATTATTGAAATTAACACTCAAAAAACCCCCGAAAATCCCTTCAAACATTATTAAAAAATTCAAAAAATATATATTTACCGTCAAAGGTTAATGATAAGGGTTCATGCTTATTATTTTATTCATGTTACAAGTTGAAGCAATTCGAAAAGGGCTGCATAATATCATCCAAACTCAAAATTTATACCTGAAGGGAGCGTTAATTTTTGTAGAAATAATTGCTTAAAATATAATTAAATATCATCAAAGTATTTCTGTAAAATAATTGAAAAATATTAGATCAGGGCAGCGTGTTACCAAAAATGACGACTTATTCATCGTTAAAAATTTTGTTGGAAAAACCACGAGGATAAATAAACCACCAAAAAGAATTTTATAAACGTAAAAATTAATTTTCTGTAAAAGAACCAAGTGTTAGGGAACACAAGACCATATTATAGAACACATTATAAAATTCAATTTTGAAAAAATCTACTTACAAAATATGTGAGCAAGAAGAAGAGATGAGACTAAGACAATGTTCGGAAAATGTTTAATTGTTTTTCTCTGCTAAAATTACAATTAATGTTAATATATTGTACAGCAATGAGTTCAGAAAAAATCTCTATCCAATAACGTGAAGAAAAATATATGGAGCAATTTGAAAAACAAAAGCTAATAATCGGTTAAAATTGAAGATGGCGTTGAAAGAAAATTATTTGTAGCATCAAACCATTTCATTTAATACCTCGCTCATAAAAATCGGAATGTAAATGACAGAATTACAGCTTGGCGCGTTTTTATCTGACACCCTGTATAAGCATAAAAAATAATATTTTGCGGTTATGTTAATAATTATCACACCAATCAAGAAATGTTTCAAATAATATACAGGGTGAGTTATTAGTATCCCGGCGGACCGTTTGAAAATATTTATACAAAAGTTGTTTGGCTCATCACTTTCTATTACGTAAAATTATTGTCACTTACACAGGATGTTCCATTTAAGCGTATCGGAGTACGTAAATTTGTTTAAATCGAACACCCAGTATATTTTATCATAATATGAATACAACTAAATTTGTTCATACAACCGTATATACCGGTTCATATACCGTTACTATTTCACAGCATTAATAGTTCATGAGATATTCAATTGTTCTTCCAAAATGTACCCATTCCAGGATCTTTTTAAAAACACTATACATGTGTTTATAAAGCTTAGTTACTTTTGATGTTTTTCAAATGGTTTTTTTTAAAGTTTTTTAAAGGGAACACCTGTATATTGTGTGCTAGTTGAATTGCTCATCAAGTTCCCTTTAATTAATGGTAAGTATGTCATATGTCTAACATTAATAGTTTTCCTGATATTTAGAATTTAAAGAAAAATGTGTAATAAAATTTCATTATTGTACTTAAAGAAGTGAGTGAACCTTTTTTTGTCATTTTTTTTGTTTTTTTCTTTGTCTGTCATTTGTAAATCAGTAATATTATATTAAAATACAATTAAAAAAAACTTTAATAAATAAATAATCAAAGCGTGATAAATATACAAAAAATACAATTAAATGGCACAACCATAAATCTCTTTTTTAATTACTAAATTGTTTGAAGGAAATGCAGCAACAAACTATAAACAATTACTAAACGTTACTCAACAAGTACCGTAAAGTGGGGTGGAAGTGTGCCTCCTATGGTGAGAATGTGCCACATGGTTTTTTAATGTTCCGTGATGTTCCGAAGTAACATTACTTTCGTAGTAAATCGAAACATACATCTGACAGCCGATACATTTGACAATATCATGTCCGAGGTGCCAAATTTAAAGATATGTAAAAAAACCGTGTGGCACATTTTCACCCCATTTTATGGTAGGTATTAATTTAATTAATATTTAGAAGTTGTTCAAAACGCCGCCCATTATCCCTTCTACAAGCATTAATGCGCTGTATAAAAGATCTTGAGCTATCTCTTAACATGTGCCTCTTATTTTCTCTAAAATCGTAAATTATATGGTAGAAGAATTGCATATTTTATTACTTACATCTTTTTAAATCTCATAAAGTACCAAGTCGCATTAAAATTTGGTATATGGCAGCAAAATTATTGTACATTATAAAATATTAATCAAATAATAAAAGGAAGAACAAAGAAAACTCATAAAAATAGACAGAATATAATATTAAGTGTTTTATTTCATATTTTATTACACATTATTCTTTATATTCTAAATATCATGAAAAGTACTAGTTAGATGTATGACATACCTATCATTAATTAAAGGTAATTTGATGGGCAATTCAACAGGATGACAATATACAGGATGTTCCATTTAAAAAACTTGTGAAAAAGCCATTTGAAAAACATCAAAAGTAACTGAGTTTTATGAACACGCTGTATAACAGTGGTGTCCATAACATCGATCGCCTAGAAAATTATGAATCTGAAATATCTAATATCTGGGCCTCAGAGCAAAAAAAAAGGAAGGTTACTTTAAACCCTTCGGTCGATCTTGGCAAGACATTTATACAAAAAGATCGATTTTGATCAAAAATTAGTGGACACTACTGCTCTAAATCGATTAAACATTAAAATTGTTGATTTTCGAAAATTAACTCAATTATAACTCAAAAACTAAAAGCGATGGAGAAAAACTTTTTAGACATAAAACCTTAGTAATGGGTCATAAAGACTAGATTCATAACAAGATTGAACGTAATTATTACTATTTTTTATTTATAAGCTCTAAATCGATTAAACATCAAAATTGTTGATTTTCGAAAATTAACTCAATTATAACTCAAAAACTAAAAGCGATGGGGAAATACTTTTTATACATAAAACCTTAGTAATGGGCCATAAAGACTAGATCCATAACAAGATTGAACCCAATTATTACCATTTTTTATTTATAAGCTCTAAATCGATTAAACATCAAAATTGTTGATTTTCGAAAATTAACTCAATCATAACTCAAAAACTAAAAGCGATGGAGAAAAACTTTTTATACATAAAACCTTAGTAATGGGCCATAAAGACTAGATCCATAACAAGATTGAACCCAATTATTACCATTTTTTATTTATAAGCTCTAAATCGATTAAACATCAAAATTGTTGATTTTCGAAAATTAACTCAATCATAACTCAAAAACTAAAAACGATGGAGAAAAACTTTTTATACATAAAACCTTAGTAATGGGCCATAAAGACTAGATCCATAACAAGATTGAACCCAATTATTACCATTTTTTATTTATAAGCTCTAAATCGATTAAACATCAAAATTGTTGATTTTCGAAAATTAACTCAATCATAACTCAAAAACTAAAAGCGATGGGGAAATACTTTTTATACATAAAACCTTAGTAATGGGCCATAAAGACTAGATCCATAACAAGATTGAACCCAATTATTACCATTTTTTATTTATAAGCTCTAAATCGATTAAACATCAAAATTGTTGATTTTCGAAAATTAACTCAATCATAACTCAAAAACTAAATGCGATGGAGAATTATTTTTTATACATAAATCCTTAATAATGGACCATAAAGATTAGATCCATAACAAGATTGAACCTAATTATTACCATTTTTTATTTACAAGCTCTAAATCGATTAAACATCAAAATTGTTGATTTTCGAAAATTAACTCAATTATAACTCAAAAACTAAAGGCGATGGGGAAATACTTTTTATACATAAAACCTTAGTAATGGATCATAAAGACTAGATCCATAAATAGATTGAACTCAATTATTACCATTTTTTATTTATAAGCTCTAAATCAGTGGTGACCATAACGTCAATTGCCAAAAAAATCATGAATCTGAAATATCTATATCTGGGCCTCAGAGCAAAAAAAAAAGGAAGGTTACTTTAAACTCTTCGGTCGATCTTGGCAAGACATTTATATAAAAAGTCGATCTTGATCTAATATCTTTGGATACTATCATTTTCCTACTGGCTTTGACTGTTATCTGACATAGTTTTAAGGCAAAATTGGATAAACAAAACGTTGTATAAACAAATTTAATTTAATATTTATAATATGATAAAATATACAGCGTGTTCCATTTAAAAAAATCTACATACTCTCCGTTACGCGAAAATGGAACATTCCGTATAAGTGAAAATAATTTTACGTAATAGAAAGTGGTGAGTCAAACAACTTTTGTATAAAGCATTTTTTCTTTCTCAAACGGTTTAGCAACTATTGTCCGCCGGGATACTACTAACTCACCCTGTATATTCAGAATTTAATAAGGAATAGGTTTTGTTACAACTATTTTTTGAAATTCCCGTTAAATATCGCTATATATAAATATAAAAGATAATATTTTTGAGGTTACGTTAATAATCATCACTCTAATCAAAAAACGTTTCAAATCATATTTGTTCAGAATTTAATAAGGAATAATTTTTGTTCAAATAACTTTTTGAAATTCCCATTACATATCGTTGTATATAAATATAAAAAGTAATATTATAGGTTATGTTAATAATTATCGGTTGATACAAATTTTTTCAAATAGTGTTTGTTTCAAATTGCATCAGAAATATTTTTCGTTTGAAAATTTTTTCAAACTTTATTGAATGCCGTCATATATTGGCAATTTTATTATTTCCCTATGAAGTGCTACGTGTTTCTCGTTGTAACTACGACTTGATTGTTAGCTGAAACCGGGTCTGTAAAGTTATATTAAAAATAATAAAAATAAAGAAGCGATAGTACTTGTTTTCGATAGCAGTCAAACACTTTTTAATCTTTTAGCATATACACATCAATCATCGTTAAATCATCCAATAATAAAAAGGAAGTAATTTATCCTTAACTGATAAATAAATTGTAAATTTGATTCATCAAAGTTGAGACGTAGTTCATGTGCTAACTTCGTGTAACCCCAACCGATTTGTTTTTGGGAAAAAATTCGGCGAGAAAAAAATTTAAATAGTTACCTTAATGATTTTTCTTCGGAGTCAAAGTACGTTTAAGAAATCCTATTAATGTTTTCAAACAGCTTCATTTTACTCTCTCGAAAGCAAAGTACTATTTACATATTTCGAATTACTTATCGCTTACTTCGCCTTAGGGTTATTTAACCAATTAATTTTTTTAATATTTAATCTAACATTTTTTATACTAACTCGAACGTTGAATTTGTTTGAATAGAAAGAAATGTTTTAACACAACTTAAATGCAGTTAATATAATCTGTTTATGATGAAATATCTAACTAATGCAAAAATAATTATGATAACGTCAGATCGTTGATTAATATTGTTTTAACAACTAATAGAACGTATAACAATGTTGTTTATATTAAAATGAGATTAACACCATATGGAGTTGTCCCTTTTGTCTAGGATGAATATTATCACTAATAAAATGACGTCGTAACATGTGTCAGTTATTAAGTTGCGACATTGATAAGAGTTTTACTATTGATACGAACTAATAAAGTGTAATATAATAAATTGCATTTGTTTAATAATCCGGAAAATTTATTAACCTTGAAAATAGGAAAGAATTTTAATAACTATAGCATGCAACTTTATCTATACCTATATGATTATCAAAAATTGAGGTATCTCTTTTGTGTGTTGATGCGATGTAAAGCCAAAGGATTAAATGATAACACTCGAGATCTTTTTTATGATACCTTATGTTATTTTTTGAGGTTTTACTAAAAATAATAGTATAATCACTAAATAGTAAAAAATCAATACTTTATTGTTTTGCTCAAATGCGTAGGGACGGGTTTAAAAAAAATCACAACAATGTTGTTTATAGAAAATAAGAAATTATTTATGGCACGCTATATCTTCATTAAACATGTTTTAAAATGCTTTTTATTTCATCATGATATCTCAATTCATTTTTGAGGTACAATTTTTTAAATTTCAAGTTTTAAAATATAAATAAAAAAGGAGAGTTAGGTTTAAAAAATCATAAAAGTGATGTTTATAGAAAATAGGAAATTATTTATGGCGTGTTAAATCTTCATAAAATTTGCTTTAAAATGTTCTTTATTTCATGAAGATATCTCAATTCGTTCTTGAGATACGACTTTTTTAATTTCAAGTTTTAAAACATAAATAAAAGTGGAGAGTTGGGTTTAAAAAATCGTAACAATGACGTTTACATAAAATAATAACTTTTTTATGGCCTGTTAAGTCTTCATCAAATTTGCTTTAAGATGCTCTTTATTTCATTGTGATATCTCAATTCGTTCTTGAGATACGATTTATTAAATTTCAACGTTTAATATATCAATAAAAAAGGAGAGTTAGGTTTAAAAAATCGTAAAAGTAATGTTTATAGAAAATAGGAGACTGTTTATAGCGTGTTAAATCCTCATAAAATTTGCTTTAAAATGTTCTTTATTTCATGAAGATATCTCAATTCGTTCTTGAGATACGACTTTTTTAATTTCAAGTTTTAAAATATAAATAAAAAAGGAAAGTTATGTTAAAAAAATAATAAAAGTGATGTTTATAGGAAATAGGAAATTATTTATCGCGTGTTAAATCTTCATAAAATTTGTTTTAAAATGTTCTTTATTTCATGAAGATATCTCAATTCGTTCTTGAGATACGATTTATTAAATTTCATCTTTTAATATATAAATAAAAGTGGAAAGAAGTGTTTTACGAGAGATTTGCAAACGGCGATGGAAAGAGCACAGAATAAGGTGAAGCATGTAAGAGATTGGAATGCTCGAACCGGATGGAAGGTGGATGAGGGATATCGACCGTTGGGTTAATTTTGGGGATTAAAGATCAATGAGATATGCAATAAGTGACATTAAAGTCATTAGAAGAGCAGAGATAAACACAGATCACAGATTGCTCAATGCGGATATAACATTCACAACACCAAAATACACAAACCTGCATAAAACACAGTCGACTTAAGATCGAGGAGTTGGAGAAGACCGAAAAACAGGAAGAGTACCAAAGGAAGGTAACGGGTCACCTAATTATATGTATTGGAACAAAAAGGGAATAGACAAAACTGAAAAAAGTTAAGTATAATCAGAAACGAACAAGTTGATGGAACGGCACAGTAAAAGAACCAATGTAACAACCAATGTAGAACGCAACAAACTAAAGAAGAATATCACCGAAAACAAAATGAGGCAAAGGAAATTATAAAGCAAGACAGGTTCCTGGGAGAGATTTGGCAAAAACATCGAAAAAGATTCGTAAAATCCAGGTAATCAGAAACAATTTTGGAATATGATCAAGATATTGACAGGAAGCAAAAGAAAATAGACAAGGAACATCAAAGATCAAAACGGCGATCTAAAAACATGATATAAAGAAATATTAAGGACATGGAAAGAACATTACCGCGCAAAATTTAAGGCAGAGGGAAGGATACAAACGCTACATGGAGGAGAGAGGAAGACGATGAGGTGGAAGATGAGGAAGGAATTGCGGAAGAGGAGATAGGGATGCAAGAAGTAGAAGAGGCCCTAAAGACAATGAGAAAAAATGGAAAGGTGACGGGAATGGATAATATAGCTCCGGAGTTACTAAGCACGTATGGTGTAGGAAAACAATACTCAGTTTATGGGAAAATAATATTATTATTCCAATACGTAATAAGGGAGAAGTTATGAGAAAATTATAGAGCAGCATGCCTCTCTACTAGAAAAACGCCTAAGAAAGGAAGCAGAAAATAAATTGGAAGAGGAACAAGCGGCGGTACGACCCATCAGGCAGACACAAGACCACACCATTAGACAAACCCAATCAGAACATGAATAGATAAAAAAATAGAAGTAGATAAGGACCTAGCATTTAGAGCAGCGTTTCTCAACCTTTCAGTATTCGGGGCTCAATTTTCAATAATAATAAAATACGACGTATATTATACGTTGAAAATTTTGACCCTAATCCCCTTAGTGCAGCGTGTTGTTAGTGCCGTAGACTCTAGTCCTAGAGCCCTAATATAGAACTTAATTACAGACTTTCAAAATGACCGAGAATAGGTGAATTTATTGAATCTTGGCAATGTCGCTCCGCTACATCCCAACTTTCTACAACGTGTTTATGAGTTAAAAGAGGAAATTACCATTTTTCTAGAAGAGGAAAACCGCCCGGAAAGTTTCGAGATGCTTTATTTGTGATGAAATTGTTAGTAGTTACTTGGTCGAGAAATTAAATACCCTGACTACAACTCCAAGGAGCAAACACACATATGTTGAATAGCAGTGATAAAGTTAGTGCTTTTTGTAAAAAGTTGGAGCTGTGGAGCAGAAATATGAAACAAAAAAAAACTAGAAATGTTTGCAAATGTGAATGAGTGTGTCAAAACATAAGATGAAGAAGAACAGTAGGTGATAGTTGTTATTGTAAGAATAGAAAGCCATGTTGGCACAGAATTTTAAAGAGAATTTTCTTGCTGAGGACAAATTGGTAGCAATATACGAGTGGATGAGTGGGAGAAGAAGAAATCTTCATAGTTTTTACTGCAAGCAACTCAACAGAGAATTAGTAATAAATCTCTTTGAATTTTGGACGGGAGTGGATGATACCTTTTCTCCACTGAAAACAAGATTTCGGATATAGTTGCCATTTTCCACATTCTACCTTTGCGAAGCCGGATTTTCTGCTGTGGCTGCTTTAAACATAAAATATATATAGGTCTCGACTGTATATAGATAAAGAACTGAGAGTGGCTATTTGTAATATAAAACCTTCTTTTGAAACCTTTGCTGTGCGAGACAGGCCCAAGGGAGTCACTAATAATTATTATTAAAGCTACTTTTAATTTAGTACTGATGAGTTTATTATTAGTTTCATTTAGCATTTGACAGTACCTACTGATACAATCATGGTTCTAATAATTAAATAGTATATTAGTTTAAACGTGTACTATACTTACTAAATCTTTTGTAATGTCAGAATGAGCATTATTTTGCTTTTCTTTCTGTGAATTAAATTTTTATTAGTAATTGTCATTTCTTTTTTCATTTTGATGTGCTGGCGCCCCCCACGTAGAGTTATGGCGCCCTCCTAGGGGCGCCATAGTATTTGTGGACTTAATAGCAGCTTTAGGTATAGTAGCAAAAGATGACATATGGAAATCTTACGAGCGTGACATATAAACAAAAAGTTACGAAGATCAATCGAAAGTGTATATAGTAAGGTAAAAGAGCGCGCCAGGCTAAATAGAGAAATATCCGAAAACTTTAATATGGAAAATGGGTATGAAACAGGGGGAAAGCCTGAGTCCACAACTATTTGTGATTTTTATGGATCAAATAATTAAGACATATAAAACAAGAACAAGATCTTCCACAATAGGTTATTATAAATTAACACCAATGAAAACCTTTAACCTAGTGTATGCAAACGATATAATGCTGATAGAAAGTACGAAAACAGAACTATAAAGAAAAATTGCTACCTGGAAAACCTGTTTAGAAAAAAGAGGGGTGCAAGTAAATATAGGGAAAGCCAAGATTATGCATATAACTAAAGAGGAAAAGGATAAATACATAAATATAATGATAAGTGGGAAGAGATTGGATATTGTGGATAAATTTGAATACTTGGGCACCATTATTACTGAGAATGGAACAATAGACAGAGAAATATAAAAAGAATACAAAAAACAAGTAATGTATATTACCAAATGAATAACACAGTTGTGGGCAAGAAGAAAGTAGGAACAAATACAAAATTAAGAATTTCTAAAACTATATATATGGTGTCCCTGAACTCTACGTCGGGGTCGGTGTATATACAGGACACCGACCCTCACATATGAGCTGAAACATGGCTGATGAGAGATAAACACAAATCAAAAATAACAGCAGCTGAAATGAAATCTTTAAGAAAGATTGCGGGAAAAACAAAAATGGATCGAATTAGAAACAAAACTATAAAAGACGATTTAGAACAAATACTGGTAAGTGAAATAGAAAACAAACAGCTGAGCTGGTATTATTATTATTATTGCTGCCGGGCTGAGGGAAGCGGCCCCTCTCGTTATTGCGACCTATAAGATCTATTGTAACTTTAGCCCTCCAAAGGTTTAGCGCAAATGTAGGTCCTTGATGAACCTTAGTATTGTCATCAGGTCTTGAACTTTTATGTCGGTAGGTGTCAAGGGAGTTTTACCGAAAATGTTGTTCAGCAGTTTCTGACTCGTCTTTGCATAGTTGACAAGTTTGATTCTCAGCTTGTCCAATATGGAACAGGTGGTATTTTAGGGGCGCATGGCCGGTCAGGTAACCTAAGAGTGTCCTTAGATCCCCTTTGCTGAGGTATAAAACCTCTTTTGTTTTGTTTTGCGGCGGAGTTATCATGCTCTTCGTTTGTCTGTGACCTGGAAGTTCTTTCCAGCGTAAGAATACCTTTGAGACCTCCCAATTGTTGATTATTTGTTTTAGGTGACGTTTTTGTAGTTCACAGCCAGGTTGGGGTCCAATGAAGGGCGTGTTCGCTGCCTCTTTGGCCAGTGCCTTCAATGTTGCTGTGACCTGGAACCCACCATAGGGTAACATCATTGCCCCTAGCGAGTTCTATCAGGTTGCTGGTACATTCTCTGATCAGTGCGGAGTCACACGTGTAGGACTTAATTGCTTTTAAGGCGGCCCGACTGTCTGTGAAAATGTTAAGGATGCGCCTTTCTTTCTGGAAAATTGTTATGTCCGAGTTGAGGGGCAGTTTAATGTGGCTATTTGGTCGACTGATGCCCATGCCTACTCCGGATCTACTGTCTTTGAAGCATCGGTGTACCAGGCTAGGGCTCCTCTTTTTAGTTGAGGCCCTCCCTTCGCCCAATCAACTCTGCTTATAAATATGACCTTATACGGCTGGTTGAAATTGTATTCTGTCGGTATAAGGTCCGTTTTAATTTCAATCAGGTGATTTAGACATGGGTTCTTGAAGATTTCGAGGTGTCCTCTGAGGTTGCCCTGCATCAACTTGAGTTAAGAAACTATTTTCAGTGATAAGGCACTTGAAGTTGCCTCCTTTTGTATATATAAATGGAGCGATGTGAGACCGAGTAGGGCTTCCAAAGCAGCCGTCGGACAGGATCTCATTACACCCGTTATGTTAAGTCATGGTAATCGCTGGATTTGTGTCAGCTGTTGTTGTGCTGTCTTATGTTTCGTTTTTGGCCACCAAATCAATGAAGCGTAGGCGACCATGGGTCTGATTATGGCTACGTAGGCCCAATGAGCCGTTGTTGCTGTGGTTTAAGACCCCAGTTCCTTCCTAGGAGCCTGCGGCAAATCTGGTTTGCCATGATGGCCTTTTTCCTCACCTTATCTAAGTGAGTTCCAGTTTAGTTTACTGTCTAGTATTACCCTTAGGTATTTAACTTCTGTTTTGAGGTTAATAGTTCTGCTTTCAATGAAGGGTGCTTTTATTTGTAGCTTCCTTCTTCGAGTGAAAGGGACTATTTCGATTTTATTGGGATTGCCTATTGCTTCTATACCAAGTACTGGTGAGTAGTAGGGCTTTCTGCATTAGTTGAGTTATGATTGTGTCATATTTACCTCGGATTGTTACCAGGTCATCCGCATACCCTTGAATCTTAAATCCGTTTTTAGTTAGGGTGTTCATCAAGTCATCAATTACCAGGCACCATCATAGAGGTGATAGCACTCCCCCTCGGGGACTCCTCTTAGTGCCTTTATAGTCAGCGACTCGCCTTCCAGCCTGGCTGTTATCTGCAGAGTTTTCATCATGGCTATACACCACTTGATCTTTTACATTTAGAGCCTTCTCTATGTAATCATAGGAGGTGTTCTGAGCTGGTATGGACACCTAATCAGAATGCCAGAAGAGAGAATTCCCAGGAGAGTAATGGAATATGGGAATAGTTGGAAAACGAAGGAAAGGCAGGCCAAGGATAAAATGGGAGGATAGAGTGGAGGAGATAGTGCACAGGAGAGGAGGAAGTGTGCAGGAAGTGAAGAATATGGCATGGAACAGACATAGTTTTAGAAGATGGATAAAGGATCCCACCAACACCCCAACACTGTGATGGCATCTAGGGGAAATGAGTTGGGTTTAAAAAATCATAACAATGACATTTATAGAAAATAAATTATTTATGGCACTCTATATCTTCATTAAATTTAGATTTCATCGTGATATCTCAGTTCGTTCTTGAGATACGATTATTTAAATTTCAAGTTGGATTTAAACAATCATAAAAATTGTATTTATAGAAAATAACAAGCATATTAAATCTTCATCTAATTTAACTTCAAAAGGCATCATATCTCAATTTTATCCTTTAATGTGAATTTTTAATTTTTTGTTCAATTTATTACATTTAATTCATAACATTTTCTTCCTTTTCTAGATTTCTAAACATGTTTATGGCTAAAACATTAGCAACCGGAGCTATGATAATGGTCATTTTGACCATAACTCAATACGCTTTCGGCGATGTTCCCATTCGTCCACCGAGACCAAACAAGTTCACAGACGACGCCCAAGTTAGAGAGTACATGAAAAATTTGAGAACGTTTTTGGATAAAGGAGCAATTAGGTATAAAATATAATCTTATACATTAATTTAGAAATAATTTATTTCCTTTTTTCCAAGATATGGCAAAAGGAATACTTATTCATCAATTGACTCTCAAAATGTAGAGGAACCCAGTGAAGATTTTGCTTTAATTAAAGAATACCCTGATCCTTCTGTACAACATCTCGATGAACATCGTTCTTATCCGGAGTGGTTTAAACAAGCAAGTTCACGATTAAATAAAGCCAATAAAGCAATGTGGTATTAAAAAAGCTATAAATAAGCGTGTATTTCTTTAATTTATTTTGGATGATTCATTCGAAAGCAACATCGAATTAAAAAATAATAAATAAGAAGAGGGAGAAATCTTAAGATAAAATTTTAGTTTCAATAATAGTCGAAAATGTTTTTAATTTGTTTTAATGTTGTTTTAGTTATAGAATATTATACTGATGTAATAAAAATAAAATAAATAAAATGTAATTATAAAGTAATTATTATTCTTTGTTATGCTGATTTATTCAGAATTTATCAAGAAACTTTTAGCTTATAGCATTATAATAAACTTAAATGGAATAGTTTTTTTCATTTTTGTACACATCCTGAAGCAGTTGGATAATCACAAACGTTAAGTTTTGTGTTAAAATATAAACCGGGACTGCAATACATTAAAATTTTTCTTCCCCAATCACACTGATAGTATAAGGTGCAATATTTTTCATGGGGTAAATACTCGGAAAGAATTCCGTTTGTTTCGGGGCAATTTAATTCTTCAACTTCTGGTTCTTCAACTTCGGGGTCTTCAACATCCGGTTGTTGTTTTAACCCACACTCAACATTAACGGGGTAATCGCAAACGTTAAGTTTGGGATTAAAATATAAACCAGATGGACAACTCATTAAAATTTTGTTTCCCCAATCGCATTCATAGAATTGGCTACAATCGGTTTCGTGAGGTAAATAAGCGGCTAACGGCCCGTTAGTTTCTGGGCAGGTTGATTCAATAACTTCCGGTTCATCAATGTCTGGTATTTCTTCATCTTTAATGCATTCAACGTTATCGGGGTAATCGCAAACGTTTAATTTAGTGTTGAAATATAAACCAGCAGGGCAATTAAACAAAACTTTTTGCCCCCAATTGCATTCGTAGAATTGGTTGCAATTGGTTTCGTGTCTTAAATAAGCGGCGAAAGCTCCGTTGGTTTCTGGACAAACTAATTAAAAAATTAATTATTATTTAATAAAATTTAAATCGAAATTTCACTTACCATCTGCAGTCGAAACTGCTAAAACACACAAAAAGATTATTTTAAAAAACATTTTTTTGTGATCGCTGGATTTTAGATTATGATGATTTTTACACGATTATCGGTTGTATTTATATAAACCGGCGAGTCTTCTTCCCCAAACAAATCATCGATAAATCGGACATATTGCTACTTCATTTAAGATAAATAAAAATACAAGATTAATTAGATTTAATCAGGCTATTCAAAGAATTTAAGTAATCGATGATTGGGATAAGTTCGAACACATTAAATATTTAAATCGAGATTTGACGCATATTAATCTCAGTTAATGTTTAATGTTTACGTTTTAATAAGAATGACAAATCGAAAGATAAAGGAGGTAAAAATAACAAGATATGATTTTGTAATTTAATTTAAAAACACTTGTGCGATACCGGATGTAACAGATTTTTATCAAAGATTGAATTTATCGTTATTGATTTACAGGTATTTCTTTGAATATTAACAAGGTTGACGTTGAGAAAATCATGTTAAAATAAGTACTTAAAAAAAACAAGGAAACATTGATGAATACTATTTTGACAAGAAAAATGAATTTGATGATATAAATTGAATCGGACCATTTCACAACAATTCTGGGAATACTCAAAAAAGTTTGGGAGATATTATTAATTTTACACGTTAACTTATTAACACAATATTGAGAGAGTTGTTGAAATACTTTTGAAATTAATCGTTTTTTAATTAAGATTAGAAAAAAGATTTAAAAGAATTTAAGAAATTTATTAGATATTAATAAGAAAAAAAACAATTTTGATTTAGAATACTCTTATTTATTTTAGTCGCTCATCAATCATATTTCGTAGTGGGACTTTTTCATGTGATTTTTTCACCATGATATGGCTTTCTGTGACGTCAAGAGGCATTAGAAAACGTGATCGGGATCTCTTATCATGAATTTAAGGCTACTCATTTTACTCTCAATTTTATAGATAATTACATCATAGATGAAGCAATACATTTATAACAAACAGCATCTTGTGAAGATCTCGTTTTAAAATTGAGCTGTTATTAGTTTTACAGCAAGTATCATCGACCACAACGTGAGCAGTAAATAGAAAAAATTAATTAATCGGATTTTCGGTCAGCAGGATTAAAAGTAAAACAACTTTTTTAAAATAGCTAATATTTCGATTGTTGATTACAATCTTCTTCAGAGCATTTTATTGCTAAAAGATTTTTTAATGAAAAAACGTAAGTCAAGCAACAATATTTAAGAAGCAAAAAATATAACTTACTTGTAACTCGAAGTCTCAAAATTCGTCAAAAATAAATTGATCAAAAATTTGTTAAAATTCAAAAACAACCGACATTGAGTAATGAACCATTAAAAACACGAAAAAACTCAATAATAAAAAGTAGAATAAGTTGACTCAAGACGCAGTGAGAACACCAATCCAAAAATTCAAGATGTACAATGTAAAACAAAAATTCATCAAACATATGAACATAAAGCAAATAATAAGTTTAATTTATAAAGAATTTTTAAAATTTTATCTTTACTTAATTTAACTCTAATTAATTAATATAAATCTAATTAAAAAACTAAAAAAAACATATCTGGAGAAAGTTGACATGTTATTAGGACTAAAACCTTGTTAGTTGGGTGAATTATTGTGGTTAAACCTATCTAAGGCAAACAAATAAGCATAAATGTTGCTAAGGTTCTGAGTAGTGATGGGCACTACTAACTATCGAATGATTTATTCGAATAAATTCATTCATTCGAATTCGGTGAGGATTGAGGATATCCAATAATGCGCAATATAGGTTAGGTATACCGGGTTTATACAGAATTTAGCTGTAAATTTAAAATTTTAAGATTTAGTTTTAAAAGTTAAATCTAATGAAACTGTTATATCTTAACAGCTTTGCATACACAATATATGAAGTTTCAATACGCTTAACTTTTAAAGTTAAATTCTTAAATTTAATTTAGTTATATCCTCTGTAGAAACTAGAAACCCGGTATAACAAGTGCTCTCCCCACTGCTTGACTTTTAATAGACAAAAATCGGGGAATTACCGAAACCTTGGATTGTAATTCTCCGGTGTGAATATCGTGTATGGACTCGTTGTTTGTTATTGTAGTGAAGTTGTACTATTTGTTTTATAAAAATGGCTTCTAGTAAGAAACGGTCAGCTGTATGGGATTATTTTAAAAAAGATTCAGTTAGTGCAGTAACTTGCGAAATTTGTAAAAAACAATTCAAATTTAGTGGTAACACATCCAACATCCGCGATCATTTAAGGCGCAAACACCCTGGGTATTTTGAAATAGATAAATTAAATAAACAAGATGAATTCCAACAATTCGGAGATCGACATAATAATGAGCCGTCAACATCAACTCAAGATCAGCAACTACCATCCACATTAATGCAGTCTCAACTTCAAGAACAAAGCAGTAAATCCACATCTACAATAGACTCCATTAATTGCAAAAAACGAAGTCGACAAATGAAACTGTGTGTTACGAATAAAAAAACCGAGTTGTCGGAAATTGAAAATGATCAAATAGATCAAAGTTTAATTAAAATGATAGTAATTGATTACCAGCCTTTATCAATTGTAGAAAATCCTGGGTTTTTGGAATATTCTAAAAAGTTACAGCCACTATACAAACCACCAACTAGAAAATTGTTATCTTCGAAAATATTACCTAACACATATAATCAAATTTGCGAAAAAGTAAAAATATTGTTAGCAAAAGTTGATCATGTCGCTGTAACTACTGATATATGGACTTCGGACAGCAATAAAGCGTATTTGACAGTAACTAGTCACTTTTTTTACGACGACTTTATACATAATGCTGTTTTGGCAACTAAAGAAATACCGGAAGCCCATACTGGTGTAAACATTGCGTCTGCTTTATCAGAAATTTTTAATGTTTGGGAAATTGACTATAAAATAATTAGCATTGTTAGTGACAACGGTGCTAATATAAAAAATGCCATAATTGGGCAGCTTCAAAAAGAACACCATCCATGTATTGCGCATACTTTAAATTTATGTGTTACAGATGCTCTAAAGTCAACCGAACCAGTAATGCGATTAATAAAAAAATGTAGAGCATTGGTAGCTCATTTTAAGCACAGCACAGTGGCATGTGAAAAATTAAAAAGCATGCAAAAACAAATGCTATACCCTGAATTAAAAGTAAAACAAGATGTATCTACTAGATGGAACTCTACTTTAATTATGGCAGAAAGACTATTAGCGATTAAAGACCCATTATCAGCCGCCATTACATCGCTACCAAGAGCTCCAGAATTTATTACAGCAACAGAATGGGATCTGCTGATAGATGTGGTATCCATTTTGAAGCCATTTGAAAAAATAACTATTGAATTATCAGGCGAAAAATATATAACAATGTCTTTAATTATTCCTCTTATAAGATGTCTACAGCATTCGCTAAAAAGCCGCATTCCTAAAACGACCAGTGCAGAATCTTTAAAACTTGTTTTACAAGATAATGTTAGAACACGACTTGGGATCTTAGAAACAAATTTACTTTGCTCAAAAGCAACGTTTTTAGATCCTAGATTTAAAAAAGCAGCTTTTAGTGTTGCAGAAAATGGTGACATAGTTCAAAAATTAATTATTGAAGAAATATCCTCTATTTTACAAAATAAAGGTGAGACAATTGAAAAACAGACCATAGAAACTACAACTGACAATACTGATGATAAAGAAAACATTTGGTCACACTTTGATCAAGAAATTGTCACTTTAAAAAGTATTTCAACACCATGCACGACTGCAGCATTGATGGTTACACAATATTTAGAGATCTCGCTTGTAGCACGAACTCAAAATCCGATTGAATTTTGGAAGCGCTACAAAAGTGTACTTCCTGAAATATATCAACTGCATAAAAGATATTCATGCATTCCAGCTACCTCAGTTCCTTCAGAACGAGTATTTTCCAAAGCTGGACAAATTATAAATGAACGCCGAAACAGACTCTCTGGGAAAAACCTCGACATGATTATTTTTTTAAATAGTAATATAAATTTGTTTAATTAATATATTTGTCATTTTTGTCATACATTTTTACTAGAATAGTGTATTTGTTTTATAAATAAATTATTTAACGTGTACTATTTATAAAATTAATTATTACTGAATTATAATGCACGCCAAAATCCTTATTATGTCCATACTGTCCATAGTTTCCCTCACTTGATTCAACTCATTACTTTGAGTCTCAGTCAACTATCAGACGACTGTTCATTGTATGATCAGCGATTCTTCTAGAACAGCTGAATGAATAACTTGCATTCGACTAAAATGAAAATAATTATATTTTCATTTTATTTATTCGTTTGCTTGATAATCTGTTTCAGAAATCAACGAATATTATGATAGTTATTCAAACATTCGAATAAATTCTATAACATCGATGTATTCGAATACTTGACAACAATCGAATTATTCTATAGTGTTCATAACTAATCGAATATTCGAATAGTTGGTAACAACAATCGAATTATTCGAATACTTACCAACTATCGAATTATTCGATAGTTTTTATTCGATAGTGCCCATCACTAGTTCTGAGTATCTGTTTCAAAATTTACAGCATTTTGTGTATAATTGATGTCTACCATCTCCAAGCCAACAGCCTATTATGATAATTTCTTTCTGAATCCAAGATTTTTACATCAAATTCATGTCCTCACTCCAAAACGTGTTGAGATAAAGCATTACTGGACTTTTTTAGTTTACAGTTTGTTGCATGTTTTGACATTCTACACTTCAACCACTGACTGGTCTGACCAACATACTTTCCATCACAACCCCTGCATGAAACACAATAAATCAATTCTTATTTGTATTTGAATCCATGTTGCAAGCTCTTGGATAAATTTAAAATGGTGATTAATTAGAAATAATTAAAATACTTCTTGTACTTGCTGTTTAAATATTTATTGAAACCGGTTTCGAAGTATTACTTCATCATCAGTCAAAACCTTAATTAAATGAAAAAACAAACCAAAATTAACATCATCGTAATTAAACAAATTTACTTTTAACTCACGTCAAGTCCTTAAAAAATGTAAACCTCATAGACCAACACACCTGTTGAAAATAAACTTTCAACTAACAGAACATCACTAAGAAACTATCGAAGCAAAATCTTATAATTAACACGTTACAATTTGTCATGAGACAAAATGAAATCTAAAACTTACTTAACAGAAAATTCGACAAATACCGGTCATGCGACTAAAGTAAATTTATCGAAGTTACAAGAAAAAGAAGAAAATCAAACATTTAAGAGAGAAAACAAAATGAAAATCTGTAAAAAATTTCTTAATAAAAATAAAAAATTAGCTATTAAAACATTTTTTAGGTATATATTTGTAAAGAGGGGTGTAGAAAATTTCGACTTGTTCATTAAGAAGATCACTGTAATTGTTTTTACTATGTTTATCAATCTCAAAAGATTCTAATAAATCAAGTTTAAACCCTTTATGCAATTATCAAGAAGAAAAATTAGCTAAATTACATAGAACACTTAGAGAATTGTTACATTACATAGAATTAGAATGTCTAATTCAAGAGACACGGAAGCAGGCATATATAGAGAAGAGAGATGATTGCAACAAAAAGAATAAGAAGATTAATAATTTAAGAACGAACAAGTACAGAAAAGAAAAAGTTTTGGGAACATTCCATGACAAAGAGAAGGGTGAAGAAAAAGATTACATACAATTCAAGAATATAACTAACGTCTTGTTTACGAAAGAAGAAGAAAACTTTTTAAATAAGGGTCATAAATTTGCAATGAACCCCACAGTCAATTTTCCATTATTAACCATAGATTTGGATACAATAATCAAAAAACTACCAGACTACACTGCCATCAGAAGTGATTTAATCTCTTTTTTAAAAAAACAAGAAAATATAAAAATACCACTAGACCCTTTGCAAATTAAATATAAAAAAATAATTAAATCAATTAAAAACAAAATAGAACAAAATAATGCTGTGTTCGTTAAAGCAGATAAAGGTGCAGGTATTGTAATTATCGAAAAAGAATCATATATACAAAAAACGGAACATTTTATGAATAACAATAACTATGAAAAATTGAACAAGGATTCGTTAGATTCAATCATCAGAAAAACGAAAGATATTATTAACGGTAATAAAGATGCTCTTATCGAATTTACCCCTCATTTACAACATAAACGTATAAACAATTTCTTCAGTATGAATTTCATAAGCATGAACCCTGATCTGCCTAAATTATATTCCTTACCAAAGCTACACAAAATAGAAATTCCAATAAGACCTATAACAGCCTTTAATAATTCACCCACATCGAAGTTAGCCAAATTCATGCTTGGAGTGTTTCAAAAAATAAATTTCCAACCTAAATATACCATTTCTAATTCGAAAGAATTTATCCAAAATACCAAGCACCTTGATCTAAAGAATAAAATTATGCTGTCATTTGACGTAACAAATCTATATTCAAATGTACCCATAGACATCATCCTGAATTTAACCAGTAAAATATTCAAAGAACATTTCAAAGATAAAAATTTAACAACTCAACTAGACACTATACTGAAACATATAGTCACTATGAATTTTTGTAAATTCAACAATAATGTGTATAAGATTAAAGATGGACTGCCGATGGGAATGCCTTTGTCAGGTATCCTGGCTGACATATATCTGGATTATGTTGAAAACAATTATATTTTTTGAAATCTTAATCCTTTTGTAAATAATATCAGAAAATGAAAACATAGTAAGAACAATTACAGTGATCTTCTTAATGAACAAGTCGAAATTTTCTACACCCCTCTTTACAAATATATACCTAAAAAATATTTTTTTCGAAAACTGCTATTAAAAGTTGAGTTTTGCGTAGTACTTAGCGACCGTCAAAACGATAGTTTTTTGTCAACAGGACGTAAAAGTCTTTTTTGTAATTCGCTATGGTAATGGAAGCTATAACAGTACTCAAACGGGTGCTGTAATGAGACTCTTTACAGCATCCGATGCTGTAATGAGATTTTAGTAACATTTTATGGAACCAGTTCAAGTTGGTGACATTGGGTCATTAATTTTTCTAGTTGTCAATGTGACAATTTTTGTCTATGGATGTTTAAACACGTTCTTAGCATCGAATACAAAGTCCACAATGATAAGGACATTGACTCTGAGCAATTTCTCTTATTTTGGGAGGTGTACATCAAACATTTTTTTCAGGTGAATATATTTTGTGTTTTGACAGTTTCTAATTGTCAATTCAAAGTTTCTATTTTCTCAAGTGTTCCGGTGTTACCAACTGATACATACCTATTTGCCTACATTGCCAAAATTTACTTTATTTTTGTTAAAAAAAAGTATAAAAACCCGAATTACAAAAAATAGCATAAAAAACACGTTTCATAAGACTTAAAGCACTCATTCATTAAAAAACTCATTGCTTCGCCACTCGTTTTTCAACTTGAATTCGTGCATTTCAAGCGTGTCTTACGAAACTTGTTTTTTAATATACTATTACGTCCAGGACGCAAAAGACTTTTACGTCCAGCTATGACAATCAAAGAATTTGATACTATTAATTGTTAATTTATTGTTATGAACAAATTATAGACACAAAATGATCAACATTTAATTGTTTTATCATTTCATTTCATGTTTAAATGCAAATTTATAATAGTACATTTGTTCAATATGTGAGGTTAAATCGATGTGACGTTAAGTTTTTGACATAACATTAAATGAATTCTAAATGTCATTATCCTGAATTTGGTCTTTTTATTAATTTATAACTTTAGAATACGCAGTTTTCGAAAAAATGTTGTTTGATACACGACAGCGAAATTCTTTTGCATTCTCGAACGTGATTCACAAAAGTGTCATTTCGCTATCTTGTATCAAAAATAACTATAATAGCTAATTTTTTATTTTTTATTTTTATTAAGAAATTTTTTACAGATTTTCATTTTAGTTTGTGAGCAATTTAAATGTAACATAACGTAGTTTTATCTCTCTTAAATGTTTGATTTTCTTCTTTTTCTTGTAACTTCGATAAATTTACTTTAGTCGCATGACCGGTATTTGTCGAATTTTCTGTTAAGTAAGTTTTAGATTTCATTTTGTCTCATGACAAATTGTAACGTGTTAATTATAAGATTTTGCTTCGATAGTTTCTTAGTGATGTTTTGTTAGTTGAAAGTTTATTTTCAACAGGTGTGTTGGTCTATGAGGATTTACATTTTTTAAGGACTTGACGTGAGTTAAAAGTAAATTTGTTTAATTACGATGATGTTAATTTTGGTTTGTTTTTTCATTTAATTAAGGTTTTGACTGATGATGAAGTAATACTTCGAAACCGGTTTCAATAAATATTTAAACAGCAAATATTTAAACAAGAAGTATTTTAATTATTTCTAATTAATCACCATTTTAAATTTAACAATAAATCAAGTTGGATCTAAAATTATCATCAGTCCTATCCTTAAGTTTAGTAAAATGGTTACGAAATTTGTTATCAATACATTTCAACGTTTTCTTTAACTGGTCGCTTAACCCTATGTATGGAAGCTTTTTATAAGTGAAACGCTCTGTATTAATTAATTCAGGATTAGTTAAACTGATCTGGTTGATATTATTGTGTGAATACGTTGAAAACAAAAGTTTGTTAAGCAATTTACGAGGATAACCATTGATAACAAAATTTGTTCTAAGGAAATTGAGATTTTGTTGTAAAAACTGATTATCACAGATATTCGAAACTCTATACTTCATGCTAAGATCGGTGGAAATTTTATCTTTTAAATTGTGACTTGAGAAATAATTCAAATAGCATCCCGAGTACGTTGGTTTGACAAACCAATCAAATTGAATGATATCATTTTCGTGTCTAGGAAAGAAATACAGTTGTCTTTTTCGATCTGAATTGTGAACTGAATGCTCGGATGAAAACTGTTAAACAAATGAATCTATATCATCTTTATGTATTCCAACGATTAAATCATCAACATACTTTTTGATAAAACTGATGCAACTCGAGTTGTTATCAATCAAAATCTCATCCAACGCGAAATCTATTACCATCAGAGCCAGAATC